TGGCAACTACATCAGCCAATTCCCTCAGGACTCTGGGGTGCATCTCATCAGGTCCCACTGACTTATGTATGTTCAGGTTCCTCAGGTGGTCTTACACCTGATCTTCTCTTACGGTGGGAGGGACTTTGCTCCTCCAGTCCCCATCTTGCAGGCCATCCTCTCAAGAGGTGTGGAAAGAGACTCAGACTGAAGACTGAGGCAAAGAAGTCATTGAGTACCTCAGACTTCTCCTCGTCCGTTGTTACCAGTCTGCCAGTCTTGCTCATCAAGGGGGTTACGCTTTCTTTGGCCGTCCTTTTCTGTCTGACATACCTGTAGAAGCCCTTCTATTATTCTTTGTGTCCCTTGCCAAGTTCAGCTCCAGCCTCACCCTGGCCTTCCTGACCCCATCCCTACACAACTGGGCAGTGTCCCTGTACTCATCGCAGGATACCTGTCGCTGCTTCCAGTGCCTGTGCATTTCCTTCTTGCCCTTTATTTTGACCAGCAGGTCTCGACTCAGCCATGCTGGTCTCTTGCCTTTGTTTCCTGATTTCTTAGACCTGGAGATCAAGAGCTCTTGCACTCTACTGAAAGCACATTCCAGGCACCCACCACATTCGTAGCGCTCCTCTGCTGTGTCCCTCTCGTGGCCAATCTGAGGACAAGCAGGAAGTACCTTTAAACAACGTGTGTTTTAAATGAAGCACACTGAACTGTCTGCTATATCTGTTTGGGCAGCTGTGCATCTGTTCACACAGATGTGTACATAAAGTTTCAGCTCAAGACTTTTACCCAGGACCATCTATGCCAAACCCCAGGGCTTGAGAGACTCAACAGGTTCCCTGCTCTGGCTTTCGGCAGGTCAAGTATATGCATGCAGCTGCATATCCTGCTGGGAATACGTGAAAAATGATTGTGACCCTTCATCTCAGCATGTCACTGGAGCCACGTAAGCAGCTGATAGAGGTGGCAGAACAGGTACAAGGAGGGCTGGGGCACAGCTGGACATGTTACTTCCTGAGCTCACACCACAGGTAGTTCAAAGACCTAAGCACATCTGCTAGAAAAGCAGGAACCTCACAGCATGGACACAGCAGTCGAAGCCTGGAGTGCAGTACCTGAAAATTGCCGAGTAGGGTCATCCCAAAAGAGGCCAAGCATAACACCACCAGGCCGCTGATGTTCAGCCAAGGGTTTAACACCTTTGGCTTCAGCTGAATGAAGCGCAGGACAGCCACGACAAGCACTGAGAAGGAAACAGAATGCAAGGTGCATCATTAGGTAGAACATGCTGCAGTAACAATCTAGCTGGAGACTCACGGACCCTTCACCCTCCTTCCATCCAGAGGGGAGTACTCCCTGCAGGCTGGCTAGCTTAGTGCTTCTGCATGGCCCCCTCCTGCTTAGTCATGGACAAGACTAAACACAGGAAGCATTTCTCTTGTAATGCAGTTATGCTGAGCTCCCACGCTTCCTTTTCTCATGATGTTTTGTCTAGGAGCTGGGTTGCAAATTTTCTGGAGGAAAGAGCACCTTCCTATTTGCCTGTGAGGTTCCCAGAACACAGTCTCTCACATACACACCATGCATTCATATTGCAGCAGCTGGGCTTGCATCAAGTTTCACTCCACTCACGAGCACTGTGCTCTCTTGGAGGAGGTATGTCAAACCCTACCTGTATTAGAAAATGTATGAATGACACATGTATTTCTGCAGGTTTTACCATAATGCCCACTGCCTCTTCTCCTCCTCTGGAATAAGTTGCTGGTGCCACAAACATAAGCCAAAATATTGTACTAATTTTTCATGAAGACTGGGAGAGCAGTCCTTCCAAGCTTACAATTAGCCCAAGTGCTATGATATGATATATATGATACATGATATGTCATATGATATGACACAATCCCAGGAGATATTCACACTGTATATTCTTACCATCCCTAGGGAATGCTGCATGGAACAACACAGAAAACCAGGCAATCAGTTTGCCTTCAGATGGCATTCAAACCAGACCACTAAAAAGCAATTTAATTAAACAGGGAAATTTGCTGGTTGCTGCTAAACACCTTCTTATTGCTTATGCTCAAACTG